TTTGAAGATTCTAGCTCTAATAGTTTCTCAGATATACGAATTTTTCTATTTGATTCATGTGGGGGCTTCAAGACCCCCCAGATGAAAGTCCGCTTTTTTTTCCTCCAAAATGTTCAGATGAATATTTAAGTTCTTCGTGCAAAATTTGAAGAATTTAGTTCCATTAGTTTTCCAGATAAACGAATTTTTGTCTTTAATTAATATGGGAGGTGCCGTTCCCCTCATGGGTAGTCCGACAATTTATTACCCAAAATGTTTAGATGGATGTTAAAGTTTTTCGTGCAAAATTTGAAGATTCTAACTGTAATAGTTTCCAAGATAAAAGTATTTTTGTATTTAATTTATATGGGAGGTGCCACGCCCCCTAATGATAGTCCGCCTACTTTTTGTCCTAAATAATTATATTGACACTAAAGTTGCTCCGACAAAATTTGAGGACTCTAACTGTTTTATTATCTAAAATATACGGATTTAATTTTTCTTAATATAGGCGTGGCTCCTCGCCCACTTGGAATTTAAAAATAAAAAGTAGTCTATTCAATTTCAAAATAAAAAGTAGCCTATTACCTATTCCAGACATACAGGAATACGCTGTGAAAATTTGAATACAATCGGTTCAGCCGTTTAGTAGTCTATAACGTTCAAACATACAAACATATAAACATACAAACAAACACACATTAATTTTTATATATATAGATAAGAAGATATTAGTTAACGAAGGACAATATAATGAAGTGATGTAGTGGATAGAACGGAGAATTAACAAACTGAGCATTGCCGGTTCGATTCCTGGTCGATTTATCTTTTTTTGTCACAAATAATTAAATTTTTTTTTTAAATCAAATTGAGTGTCGAAATTCGGTTCAACAATAAAAATTTAAAAGCTAATTATTTTTATTATACCCTCCACCACCATCAGTGGTGATAGAAGGTATATATAACTTTGTCATTCCGTGTGTAACACCAAGAAATATTCATCTGAGACCCAACAAAGTATATATATTCTGGGTCCTTATCAAATTCTGAGTCGATTTAGCTATGTCCGTCTGTCTGTCCGTCTGTCCGTCTGTCTGCCTAAAACACGCTCACGTTAAAACTAAGCAAAGGAGGTACACCAAATTCACCGCAAATATTCATTGTTGTCCTAAGCAGTTTGGTATTGAAAATGAGCAAAATCGGTTCATACCGGGAAAAGTAATGAATCAAAATTTAAAACAACCTCGAAAAAAATAAGCATTTTTTACACATTCGGATTCAATTTTCTCGAAAACTCTGCAAGATAAAGTCATGAAAATCACCATGAATAAGTTTCTATACAAGTACTTGATCTCTGCTGAAAATTGCTAGAATCGGTCCACAATTTCATATACCTCCCATACAAAAGTACATATTCCCGGAAAATGTGTTTTTTGTTAATAACTTCCGTCACAATGTCGATATCTTCACAAAATTTTACAAATTAAAATCTTATGTCAATAGAATTCATTTAGAGAAAAAATTTTCTGGATCGGTCCATAATTGGACATAGCTCCCATATAAGGTCCCCTCCCGAAAATCACTTAAACGCGCATAACGCATTACTTAATTAAGATATCCATATAAAATTTGGTACAAGTATTACTTATCTATACAGAAATATTACCGATAAATTTTTTTCCGATCGGTCCATAATTGGTCATAGCTCCCATACAAGGTCGCCTCCCGAAAATCACTTAAACGCGCATAACTCATTACTTAATTAAGATATCCATATAAGATTTGGTACAAGTATTGCTTATCTATACAGAAATATTACTGAGAAATTTTTTTCCGATCGGTCCATAATTGGTCATAGCTCCCATACAAGGTCCCCTCCCGAAAATCACTTAAAACCACATAACTCATTAGTAAATGAAGATATCCATATAAAATTTGGTACAAGTATTGCTTATCTGTACAGAAATATTACTGAGAAATTTTTTTCCGATCGGTCCATAATTGGTCATAGCTCCCATACAAGGTCCCCTCCCGAAAATCACTTAAACGCGCATAACTCATTACTTAATTAAGATATCCATATAAGATTTGGTACAAGTATTGCTTATCTATACAGAAATATTACTGAGAAATTTTTTTCCGATCGGTCCATAATTGGTCATAGCTCCCATACAAGGTCCCCTCCCGAAACTCACTTAAACGCACATAACTCATTACAAAATAAAGATATCCATATAAAATTTGGTAGAAGTATTGCCCGTATGCACGAAAATATTACTGTGAAATTTTTTTCCGATAGGTCCATAATTGGTCATAGCTCCTATACAAGGTCCCCTCCCGAAAATCACTTAAAACCACATAACTCATTAGTAAATGAAGACATCCATATAAAATTTGGTACAAGTATTGCTCTTATATACAGAAATATTACTATGAAAGTTTTCTTGGATCGGTCCATAATTGGTCATAGCTCCCATACAAGGTCCCCTACCAAAAATCAATTAAACGCGCATAACTCATTTCTAAAGTAAGATATCTATATAAAATTTGGTACAAGTATTGTTATATGACTGAGAAATATTACTGAAAATTTTTTTTCCGATCGGTCCATAACTGGTCGTGGCTCCCATACAAGGTCCCCTCCCGAAAATCAGTAAAAACCACATAACTCATTAGTTAATGAAGATATCCATATAAAATTTGACACAAGTATTGCTCTTATATACGCAAATATTATAATGAAAATTTTTAGGATCGGTCTGTCATTGGTCATAGCTCCCATACAAAGTCCCATCCCGAAAATCACTTAAACGCGCATAACTCATTACTGAATTAAGATATCCATATAAAATTTGGTACAAGTATTGCTTATATGCACAGAAATATTACTGTGAAATTATATTCCTATCAGTCCATAATTGATCATAGCTCCCATACAAGGTCCCTTTCAGAAAAACACTTAAAGGCACGTAGCTCATTACCTAATAACCCATAAAATATGTGGCATAAATATTATTTTTGTACACTTAAATGTTATTTCAAATTTTTTTCATGATTGGTCCATTCTTGGTCGTAGCTCTCATACAAGGTTCCCTCCCGAAAATCACTTAAACGCACATAACTCATTACCAAATATTGATATCCATACATTTAGCAAAAATATACATAAATTAACCTATAAAATTGTTGTACGATCGGTCCATATTTGGTCATAGCTCTCATACTAGGTCCCCTCCAGAAAATCACTTAAATGCACAATATTCATTACCAAATAATGATATAGATACAGAATTTTGAAATTTTGTCTTTATATACATAATTGGTCATAGCTCCCATACAAGGTCCTTTTACGAAAATCCCTTAAACGCACATTACTCTTTACCAAATAAAGCTATTGATACAAAATTTGGCATAAATATTAGTTTTGTAAACAAAAATTCTATTTCCAGATTTTTTCACGATCGGTTCATAACATGCGGTCGGTCCCATAAAAGTTTCCTTTCAGAAAATCAAATAAACACTCATAACTTATTACAAAATTACGATATAGATACAAAATTTGACTGAAATATAGCTTTTATGTACAGAAATTTTGCTTAAAGAATTTTTAACGATCGGTCTATAATTGGTCATATCTCCAATATTAGGTCCTGCCCTTAAAAGCGCTTTAACCGTATTTAACTAGTTGCATTATCAATTTGCGTAGAACAAAATTATATATATGTATTTTGAAAATCCTTAAATCTTTTACACACATGCATACATGCAAATTACTAAATATCACTAAGTGCTATTAAAATATAAAGAAAATCTTGGAATTGTAATAGATTTATGCTGTTTAAATCTTGGGATTTTTTCTATTTAAGACATGAGAAAACTTATTTCTACAAATATTTGATCAATTAGAAAAGTATTAATATAAAATTAGCTGGTGGAGGGTATTTAAGATTCGGCTCAGCCGAATATAGCACTCTAACTTGTTTTTTTCATAGGATCAACACCTTTGAAAATCTATTGTACCTCCCGAACAAAATTATATAAGTTTTATAACTATTGCAATATATTTTTCTCACACATAGAAATTGTTTTAAATGCAGAACATATGTTAAATTTAGTACGCTCTGTAAGAGTCTGTTAAGTGGTAGTTTTGTTTTTAATTGTATATTGTAAGGCGTAATAAAAGTAAGTCTAAAATATTAAGGTAAATTTGAATCAATCCATAAAATTTTATAATTTATGAAACCAATTTAAGGTGGAGGGTATTTAAGATTCGGCAAAGCCGAATATAGCACTCTAAATTATTTTTTTTAATATTTAATTATTTTTAAAGCTAAGAAATGTTCCCCTATTTTCAAGTATAGGGGAAGATTAAGTGCCAGATATTGAAAAAATCTTGTTATTGAGTTAAAAGAAATTGTTTTTGATAGATAGCCCACACGCATCCCATTCTGAGACATCCCTTAAAGAAAAATGTATAAGCTTTCTTTTGAGCAAAAAATGGGTATTTTGAAAAAAATTAAATATTGAAAAATAGGGGAAAATTAAATGCCAAATATTAAAATACTATCCAATAGTACTTACCTTGGTGCAAATTTCATCCAAATCGGAAGACATCGATTTAAAAAGTTGGGTCACTTGACACGAAATTGCCCATATACTAGTTCATTGGAACGTAAGAATTCTGGAAGTAGTTGAAACAATTAATTTCTGAAACGGACTTCAAATGGATTAAAAGAAATAATTTCTAATACTATTTGAAAAAAAAAACTTTATTACAAAACTGTCATAAAATTAAGCACAAACAATTTTTTTTAATTATCTGATTATTAAACAGGTAAAATCTCAAATAACTATTTCTTGAATAAACCGAACAATAAAAAACCCCAAATAATTGAATACCCTAGTCTTTAGAATTGGTAATACATTGTTATTATGTGCTATGAAATTGTTTACGATTTTATGCTTGGCTTTTACACGCTTCGGTTTAGTTTGTTTTTATTAATGACAATTTTAATTTCCAGAAATCCGACCGAGCACAAACAAGATTTTTCTCCTTTATGAATCCATTAGCAGTTGATATTTGGATTTATATTGCTTGCGGTTACGTACTGGTGTCACTTACTATTTGGATTGTGGCTCGTTTTTCTCCCCTAGAGTGGATTCCAGCCAAACAACAGACAACAGTAGCTTTAAACGTTCCAAATGCTTATGACCAAAGCATTGATGATGCAGAATCTAAATTAAAATTATTCTATTTGCACGAGGATATAGAGTTAACGCAAAAACACCATGTAATAAATGAGAATGTAGAAGCCGGTGATATCAAAGTGGAGGAAGATGGAGATAAAGATGGTATTGAATTAACTTCAAATAAATCGGCTGAAATATGGTGGCCTGATAATCGCCTACATTTACCAACCTCATTTCTTAATATGGAACATAATAACATAATAGACTCTGGGAAATCCACAGAATTATTAACTATCAGTAATGATTTTACATTGAAGAATTGTTTTTGGTTTGCAATAGGTGCTCTGATGCAACAGGGATCTGATTTATATCCCAGGGTAATTATTATAGAACACATTATATTTATATTTACATTCCCAGAAATTCCATAAACAATCTGTAAAATTTTTCAGTAATCAGTAAAAATACTGAGTACTACAAATCTTTCAACTTTATTGAATACTAATGAAGTTTAAAATCATGTTTAAATGAACATTTCGAAATAAAAAAGTTGAAATATGTACACAGACTCAAACAATTGTCAGTACAGCATGTATTTAAAAACATATTTTGTAATATTTTCTAAAATATTTGTCCGATTTACAAACAAAATTTTTCTTATGATAAATAATAAGTACTGTCCTAATAAATTTTCTAATTGCAAACATTTTAAATAATACTCTTATGTTTTTGTAAATTATTTTTTTAAAAACAACACCTCTATAAACAAACTCAAAAAATATCCTTCAGAAGAAAAACAATTAAAGGATACAGTTCTAAAATATAACGGTGCATTAAAATGAGGTGTATTCTAATTTCTTATGTTGTCAGAAATGCTTTAAAGTCTTTTCGTTAAATGTTTAAAAGTGAACAAACTTTTAAAATAAGTGTAAGAATAAAATCAAAGAATTAATAATTTAAATGAGTAATGAAGGAACATTTTTTGCAAAATATTCTCAAATATTTATCTTCTGTTTAATATATTGAAGAAATGTGCAAAATAACCGGGAAAATTGGAAAGGTCTACATGAAGCGAAAATTTGAACGGAGACATGATCTAGAAGTTAGTTTCATTGAAATAGCTAAGAGTCGTATAAGGTGTCAAAATGTATCCCTAAATGTAAAAACAATACAAAATGTTCATCACCTGAATCAATATAAGGCATGTGTTCCACCTAAGAAAGTGTTTATTTCTGTAAAGAATGTGAAGAACGCATGGAGTATCCCAATATTACGCAAACAAAGCGGAATACAACTGGAAAACTATGTTACAGATGGAAGTAAGTACAACATCTTCGGATCAGAAAGCCGAAGATTTGTGTGGCGTAAACAAAATGGCGCTTGTGAATTAAAAAAAATCAAAAAGCAAGTGTTAAATCCGTTGGTGGTATAGTGATGGTGTAGGTTATAATGTCTGTAGGATGTTTCGGAAACATCATATTCTTGGAAGGACAATGTATAATATAATCAATTAAATATTTTTAACAACTTTTGAAAGCCAATGCAGTTAAATTAGGCATAGCAGACGATTTTCAGTTCGTTTATGATAACAACCCAAACGGTTCGTCGAAAATTTAAGGTGAATGGTTACGTGACAACGTAAAAGAAGTACTTCCTACCCTCCTCAGAATCGAGAGCTAATCCCATAAAACACATATAGGGAATTTCACAGAAAAAAATAAATTTACGATTCAGTACAAGAATTCATCAAACCAATGTAAAATTGCTTAAAATCGGACGTATCACGAACATTTTATTTTTAGTAAACAGATTCGCACAGAATTAACTGAAAACAAGTTAGAGTGCTATATTCGGCAATGCCGAATCTTAAATACCCTCCACCAGCAAGCTACTTTTTATTACAACTCATTTAACTATCTAATTTTTAGATAACTTGACAAAATGTTTGTTTCCCTAGTGAGGGTACTAACATTTATGCATATGTGGAACTAATTTTGATTAGGTTCATAAAATTCTATATTAATAAGCCAGTTGCAAACATATTAATATAATGATTTATCTATACACAAACATACTCCTGTCGAATTTTATCTGGATATAATAATTTAATAATGAATTAAGTGGTATTAAGTGATTATTTTCAGAAGTAAAATTATATATACAAAATACACATTTGTGTCGAATTATATCCCGATGACTTTGATTGTCAATGTGCGTTTAAGTAATTTTCAAAAATGATCCTTATATGGGAGTTGTGACCAATTATGGATCGATCAAGAAAAAATTTCGTATAATGATTTATATTCAAAAAACAAAAAATCGAGTTGAATATTACTCCAATAGATTTATTAATTAATAAAATATGTGCGTTTAAGTGATTTTCGGAAGTGGACTTTATATAGGATCTATGATCAATTAAGGGCCTCTCCAGAAAAATTTCGTAGAGTGATTCATATGTATGTACACAAAACATATTTGTGTCGAATTTTATGAAGATGGCTTTATTTGACAATCAAATATGTGAGTTTAAATGATTTTCGGAAGAGGGCCTTACATGGGAGCTATGACCAATAATGGACCGATCCGGGGAAAAATTGGTAGAATTTTATCAAGATACCATTTTTTTGACAATTAAATATGTGCATTTAAGTGATTTTCGGAAGTGGGCCTTATATGGGAGCTATGACTAACAATGGACCGATCCGAAAAGAAATTTGGTAGAATGATTTGTATGTTTACAGAACATATTCAGCTAGAATTTTATCATAAAAGCTTTATTTATCAATGAAATATGTGCGTTTAGGTGATTTTTGGAGGTGGTCCTTATATGGGAGCTATGACCAATTGTGGACCGACTAAGATCTACGTTAGTAGTATGATTCCTATTATATTTGTATGTACAAAATTTTGTGTTGATACCGATATATTTGAGGGAGTTGTTGACGATAAACTCATTTCCGGGAATATACACCTTTGTATGAGGGCTATGGGAAATATTAGATCAATTGTTATGAGTTTGAACATACTTGATCCCTGGCACAAAAAAATAATGTGGTACAAAATTCATCAAAATATCTGTGGTAGTTTCTGAGAAAACTACTTAAGAATTGGGAAAAAGTTATTTTTTTTCGATGTAGTCTGAAATTTTTACTCATAACTTTTTACGTCGTGAACCGATTTTACTGATTTTCAATACCAAATTGTACCGAATAATAAAGAATGTTTTGGGTGAATTTCCTGCATTTCTATTGCTTCGTTTTAACGCAGTGATGCCAGGAGATTTTTTTCAGAAATCCCTACGCTTATGAGAAAAAATCCCTTTTTTCCCTACACCCATTTTTTTTTCCCTACATTTTTCCCTACACTACTTTTTTCCATTTTTTTCAAAGTTTATCTTAAAAAAATACAAAAATAACATCAAAAACTAAAATATTAGCTCCGTTTTATAATATACAAATATGTATGTATTTTTTTTTTTAATTTTTAGGAATGAAATTTCTAGAATTTTAATTTTAAATTTTTTTTCTTTCAATTTTACATCATACAAATCTTCCAACCCTGACTCTTCAGTTCAGATTAAAAAAAAACAATAGAAAGATTTATGGCAGTATATCGAATCGTGATAAAAATTTATTTATGTGCCTCCAACAAAAAAATTTTCATAAAATAATTATTTTAAATAAGGTTTACTTTTGCGTTTACTTTTTGCGGTTTACTTTTATAAATTTTCAGAACATTAAATTCATTTTTTCAATCCTGAGTTACTGCATTAAGCCCCCGACTTCTCTATCTATAAGGAGTCAGAATATATCGCCCTACAGGATTGGCATAATCCAAAAAGTCGTTTCAAGAAAAATGGATATGAATATTTAATGACATTTAACTATTTTTTTAATAACTTTTAAACAAATCAAGGGGTTTTAAAAATCCAGATTCAGATAGTTGAGGTTAATATGTTTCTCATCTAAATTGAAATTAAATTTTTAGTTGTCTAATATTCACAAAAACGTGGGTTTTAGTTTTTACGTTTACAAAAAATCGATTTCACATCGAAAATAATAGAAATTTCATAAATCTATATGAAAGATTTTAGTATGTCGCATGTTTTGAAGACCTTAGTTCAAGAAAGCCGAATTTTGGATTATGCCAGTCTTGTAGCGATATGTAGGTACATATATTGTAGAAATTACAAGCGGAATTTTTACTAACGATTCACTTAAAACTGATTTCATTTTTAATTTAAAAGTTTAATACATGAAAGAGTATATTTTTAGTTGTTAAAAACTATGAAATTGAAAAATCCCTACAATTTGACAATAGTAAGAAATCTTTCCCTTTTTCCTACACGTGAAATTTTTGAAAAAAATCCCTACAAAAAGGGAAAAATCCCTACACTTGGCATCACTGTTTTAACGTGAGCGTGTTTTACACAGACAGACGGACGGACATTGGATCTCAGATGAATATTTCTTGGTGTTACACACGGAATGACAAAGTTATATATACCCTCTATCACCACTGATGGTGGTGGAGGGTGTTTATGCCAAACAACAATTGTCCGTTTCTTTCTAATTTCCCCGCAAATTCCTAGTTCCTATGACATATATCGATGCTGAATACTATGAATTGCAGCATACGTAAAGTTGTCATAAAGTTCTAAATAAAACGTCAATTATTTCAAATATGTCGTAAAATCTTATTTCCGCCAGAAAGAAACTTTCTTTTGTGCAAATTGGTCCACTTTCCTATCCTTGGTAAGAATTCCTTATTCCTAAATAATTTAATAAATGTAAAAAAAAAAGAAATCCTAATTCCTGTGTTTTATTTTCTTTCTTTTTTTTCATTCCTTGCTTTTTAAATTATTCTGAGTCTAATTCTACCAACAAAGGATTACTTCCAACAGTCAACAATTCCACAGGTTCGTTTGTTTTATTTATTTTTGCTTTATTTAGTTTATCCATATATATACAAATTGCATAGTGTTTGTGTTGAGTACATTAAAAAGAAAAAAAGCTACATTAATCACCGACGGCAATTTACATAAAAGAAATAAACAAACAAACAAATCCGTCGGCAACTTAATGATAGAGAGTGAAGCTTTAAATCTTTTTAAAATTAAAATTAGAAAAAGCCGTCGGCAAATTAGAATTTCAAATAGTGGAAAATTAAAGTGATCGTGTGCACCGAATTAAATATCCCCTACTTCTATTGGTCGTCCAAGAGTTGGAGTTAAAGGCGGGAGTTTTCCTAAAAATATCATTAAAATAGCTTTTTTTGTCCAGAAATTACTAACTTCACCGGTATTTATTTTCTTTGATCCACCGTTTCTTTAAAATATAATCATAAAAATTAACGTTTTATAATAAAAAAATAAATATATTAACCGGTGTTTATTTCTATTGATCCAACGTAGGGCATTTTGTTCTTTTGCTCTGAATATTTTCTTCAGATTTCCATATTAATTCCAAGTTAAATTCTCTTCACATTATTCCCTATTCAATTTCATAACTCTTTATTTTTTTTCGTTCATATATTATTAAATTTAAATAATACTTCCCAGCGGTAAAAATACACATTATGTACTCGCTTATCTAAGTGATATTTCGTGGCAGTCAGTGGTGATGCTGTCACTTATTCTTCAACTTAGATTTAACATAAAAGTGTCCTAGGCTGCCTCATCGATGTGCTCTCGCTTAGAATGTAAGCCGCAATATCATTAAGACAAATTAAAATTTCACTTACATAATGTGTGGAATTCTAAGCGAAGTTAATGGGACGCCTTTAAACCAATGGTGCCCAAAATCACTATTCCCTATCACGCGAGATAGGGCAAGAATATTCTGCTGACGTTGCGTTGACTCACCTACACTATAAGCTTACTTGTGTATTTTCTTATTTGAGCATGTGCTAGTTGATTATCTCTCAACTTGCAAAACAAAATCAACTCAGTTGCTGATCAGCATTTGTCGAAGTAAGATCTGTACGCAACTTTTTTAAAATCCACACAGAAATACAACAACAAAATTTTGAGAAAGCCGAATTTATGTAGGTGAATGAGAGAGCACAGCTGATAGTTTTTTATATATGAACTTTAATGTACGCTGTCTGTCAAAATCCATAATATCAATTTGACAGTTAGAATATACTTTTTAGTATGCAGTCATTTTATTAGTACAGTTTTATTTTGGGTTACATTTTGTTCTCTGCTGCTTTACCAATACAAATGAATGTGTAAAAGTGTGTGTATGGGCAACACTGCTTTAAACGCTTGCAAATAAGAATGTAATGTATGTAGATTACAATCCTATTTGCATTTGTCTTCCCTTTTTGTTATAGAAAAAATATATATTTGTTTATATTTATTTTAAAATTATGCAAGTTTATTTAAAAATGATTATCAAATAATAAACATGTATTATAGTTAATTCAACAAAAATATAATTAAACAATTTTAACGAAGATAAATTTCATTTTCTTTTGAAAATTTGGCCATCTTCCTTTCCAGATCCTGTAAACAATCAAGAGGAAATTGTCAGTATTAAAACTAGAAGATATGAAGATTTAGATCACCACAATTATTTTAAATTTTTACAATAAAATAACTTTTTTAACAAAACACAACTTCACTTACAAAAGATCAACTTTAAACTGATAAAAAAGATCCTTCTTTTCATGTAGTATACAAAAGAAAAATAAAACGGTACTTTAGTTCTGTTTTTTAAGAAATAAAAACAAAAAACAAAATGAAAAAGGCAGCTAACTCTCTGCTTAAATCGTGATCTATGTTATAATTAAAGTGCATGATATGTTGGATTACGCATACATTGCACTCTAAGTACTTAGATTGCTCGCTTAGAACGTCATACTGATGTCATCGAATATTATCTAAGTACTTTGTTTCATTTACCGCTGGGTGACCAATTACGGGCCTCTCCAGAAAAATTTCGTAGAGTGATTCATATGTATGTACAAAACATATTTGTGTCGAATTTTATCAAGATAGCTTTATTTGACAATAAAATATGTGAGTTTGAATGATTTGCGGAAGTGGGCCTTATACGGGAGCTACGACTAATAATGGACCGATCCGA